GGCAGCCGTGTGAAGTCAGTGTTGGAAAGAGCTCTGCCAGTGCAGTTGTTTTCATCATCGAAGTACAAGGTCCTTTGGTCCCTGAAAAGGACAGTGGGAGTGTTGTAAACAGGAGTGTGGATTTGAGATACAGAGTGAATGCCCAGGCTCCCACAGCCATGGTATTTGTGTACATTTTAGTCCTTAAAGGTATCAATGGCCTCTTTCCTGTGATTCTCTTTCCCCAAGCCAGAGTCAGGTAGGAACTAATTACACTTTGTAATTAGCATCTTCCTCATGACAGCTACTAAGCAATGCAATGAAGTGTCACCTTTTGGGAACTTAACCAAAATCCTTCCTAAGGACAAGTTCCCATGTGATAAACAGGTTAAAGCTTGAGGGAATAACCCCTTGGAGTATTTTCTGGCCTCCCCTTTGCATAGGGTCTGGTTAGTGGCCACATGACCACTAAGTTCTAGGGACTGACCAGGCTGAGGGATTGAGTTTCTTAAGGTCCTGCCTCTAACGCACTTTAACCCTCCAAGGTTGTAACAGTTGGGCTGGCGACAGGAAACAGGACTTTGAGCTCTCTGTGTAGATGATACAGGTAGGTACATATGCCCAGCATTTAGAGGTCAGTAGCAAGAGGGGTGGTCCTGAGAAACCATGGTGTATTTGGGGTTCCTAGTTAATACGCCCAAAACAGAAAACAATTCTGAAGGTAATGTTGTAATGATGAGAAAGGATGTGTAAGTGCATTTCTCTCTTGCATTCCCATCTCGTCTCACACACACATACACGTCTGCCTTTTCAATAATACTTGCTGTATCTGTTTCCAGCAGTTACCTGATTAGGCATGTTTCTGTGAATTAGAAAGTTTAGATTCCTCCCTCAGCCGCCCCTGCCCAACTCCCTCCACCTTTCCAGTTTGACTTAAAGCCATAAAATACTTCTGCCTGCCTGCCTGCTTGCCTGTCTTTAGTTCTGTTTGTATGAATTAAGTCGACAGGATAAATATTCACATTCCCAACTACAGGCTGAAACAATGTTTGCCTGTTCTGCCCAGTGAGTCAAGAAATAAAGGGGGCCTGACATCACCCTATACTGTACATTCCCGGCATAGATCATTTATTTAAGTCTCTGAAAAAATACAGATGTTTTACCAGCCGAAATAAAATCCTGTGTAAACACAGAGCTTGGAAAAATGCAGCCCTGACTTAGCTGGGGGGTTGGCCAACGAGGGGAGAAGAAAAGGCCAAAGGAAGATAGAGAAATTTTATGCTTGGCTTAATGTGATAGATTCAGAAATGTTCACCCATGGTCTGCATGCTACAAAAGGAAATAGATCAAATTTGCTTTTACAAAATTATAATTACATGGGTGGGAGGCAAGAGGAAAAAAGAATATATAATTACAAAAGTGGATAGATTTATTGATTGATTGTTGTTAATGGTTCCCGTGTATTCACCTACTTTATATCTGACCTTTGAAGGGACCGTCTCCTTTCTTACTGGAGCTGGCCTTTTCCGTTGCCTACCCAACCTTGTCCTGTTATTGCTGGATCCTGCTGCTTTGTGGAGTTCAGCTGCTGATGATTTTATAAGGGGAAAACTGCCTGGAAGCCATGCTTGGTGAAGAGGAAAACCCATCTCAGCACTGCATTCCCAAACAACCGTATATCATCTTGATCTTGTCTAACACAAGTCACTATTTTAGTCCAGCAGCATAAACCAGACATATTTTACTAGTGCACTGTGAGTTTTTTCAGGGAGTTGCCTCATGACTCTTTTTAGTCCCAAGAAGAGTAGTACGTTGCTCTGTGCAGTTGCTTTTAAGCTTCCAAGCTATCCAAATGGACCCCCTGCTTCACCTGAATGTTCGGGGTTCCCCCAAGCCTCCCTGAGTTTTAGAAGGGTTTGTTGGAGACAGAGAATTGCTTGAAGTTCCACTGAGGCTTGCTGTTGTTTTGAGGGTGGGGAATCCAGCCAAGCACTCCCTGGAACTGCCTGTAGTACATTCCCTGCTCCTTTCAACTGTTCAAGTCACCCCCTCCCCAGGGCAAAGCTAATTGTCCCACGCCTGGCCTGTGAGAGTCACGGGGAGGCTGGTGCTCTGCCCTTGGCCAGTTCCTGTGTGCTTTCAGTCTCTTTCTGACTGAGAGTAATATCCAAAGGCGACAAAGCTTTCTTCTGTTTTCTTGTGCTGACACCTCCAAATCCACCTCTGACCCTTCTTCAAGGGGCCAGCTATAGCTAGCAGTAACTATCTGTTCTCTGTTTATCCCAGTGTGATTATTAATAGAGCTCCCTTTCATCACAAAAGAATTCCTGTTTTGTGTGATAAATTACCCTAACAAGAGCAGCTGAAGCATAGATGTTCCCAGTCAAACTCATTCAGGCCCCTGCCCCGTTCTCACACCTGCCATTGCTCTCTTATGCCCCAGTCTAGAAAGGTGCGTCCCCCTCCCACCTTCACTAGCTGCCCAAGGTACACGTCTCTTTCCTGGGGCTATGAGTGTGACCCAGCGGTAGAACACTTGCCTACTACACGCAAGGCCCTGGGTTCTATCCCCAATACCACACACATAAAAAAGAGTCTCTTTCCCGACACCCAGCTCCGTATGTCCTGCAGTCTCCAGGCCCGGTCTCTCAGGACCCACCCACCACTCACACCGCCTTACCATCTTGTCTCAGCGGCATCCCTTCCTGTTTTACTGGTACTGGAGTTTAGATGGGTTCGGGCGGAGGTGTCACAAGTCAGCAGTCCTGGTGGGCCAGGTGTGGAAACCAAGGAAATCAGTGTAAACTCACAGTTCTGCCTGTCCATCCTTTGCTTTCAAACTCACAGTAGAGGTTTGGGCATAGTAAATACTTCATTTTCCTCTTGATTTCCCCAAATTTAAAAGAGAAAAAGTACACGAGCAGTGGTAAGTGGCTTGGGCACTCTGACCTAGTGACCCAGAGTCACAGGCAGAAGAGGAACAGTGGTGGACGAGAGTGTACTGTGCCTGATGATTGTCACCCTGTAAGAAGTTGGACCCACACTAGCTGAATCTTCTGACCTTTCAAAAGAAGTCAGAAATCAGGGTGATTGTGAAGTGTCATCTCCCAATTCATCTCCCCATTCATAAATATTGGTTTGAAAATACTGCAGGAGCAGAGTAAACCCCCTCTTGGACACAGACTGTTGGCTTGATGTTGGCCTTGTGCCCCTGGTTCTCTACCTCCCACCACTTACCTAGACTCCTGCCGTGGTCCCAGGCCTCCTGTTTTCTGCAGTGGCCATCACCCTGCCCTGGATTTTCTCTCCAGATCACTGACCCTGCCACCGAAGTGTGCTTTCTGACCAGGTCTCTGCTGTCAGCAGCGCAGGACCCACCCTCAGTTAACATTCAGAGCTTAAGAACAATTTTAGATTTATAGAGGATTCGAGTTGTTGTGTCAGGGAATTCCCATATGTTCCTCTCCTCGCTTCTCTCTCCTCCCAGGTTTCTTCTCCTATTAATATCTTTATCAGTGTAGCACATTTGTTTTAGTTAACAAACCAGCATCAACATAACATTATTAACTGAAGTTCATAGTTTGTATTGTTTTATTTTTATTGGTAATACAAATATTTTAAAATACCCTTTAAAGTTTTTTTGGATTTTGGTTTTGCTTGCTTGCATACTCTTTCCTTGATCCTGGCAAGATTTTTTCCGAGACCAAATTTGAATATCAATCTTTCTGCAAAGCCTTCTCTGACTGTTTATTTTTAGAATGAAACTAAAAGAGAGGGAGCAGACAACACAGAAGAGAACCGACATTTTTATCAGGTTCCTAGTGCATTGCCAAGAAGTATTTATGCTCTTCTGAATCTCTACAATCACACAAGGTAGATTCTATTACAGTAGTCCCCGCACCCACAGTTTTTCTTTCTGTAATTTCAGCTGCAATCAACTGCAGTCCAAAAATATTAAATGGCAAATTCCAGAAATAAATAATTTATAAGTTTTAAATAACTTTTATTACAGTATATCGTTTTCTATTTTTAGTTTTTTCTATTTTTAGTTACTGTCCTTAATCTCTTACTGTGACTAATTTATAAATTAAACTTTGTCATGGGTATGTGTGTATAGGAAAAAACATACTGCATATGGGGCTCAATATGTCTGAAATTTCAGGCATCCCCTGGGGGTCTTGGAATGCATCCTCTTCAGATAAGGAGGGGATCACTGAATACTCGCTTTACAGATTAGGCCAGTTGTTAAGGCTCACAGCTAGTAACTGGTTTATATCCACATCTACCGAGGTCCAAAGCCGTGTCTTTCTACACTCTCATGTGCCTGGATTCTGACTTCTTATCTAGCCTTGCTGCCTCTCCCATCAGACTAGGTCTACCAGAGTGAAGAGCACTGCATTGCACAGCTCTGTGTCGCCATGCCAAGCACAGAAATTGGTAACTGCAGCAGGTTATCGAATCAAAGGAGATATGTCTTGAAGGAGTTAACACAGAGTCACCAAATATCAACATTAGTTCAGCGTGGCAAATGCTTGTGGAGTTCTTACTGTACACCAGACTGTTGGGGGGAGGTCAAGCATAGACAGGAAAGTGCCGGCGATGCAGCTGTGCAGGTTATAAAGCTCCTCCATCCACCAGGTAGCACCAGAGAGGCTGTGGGTTATCTGTGACTAGGATGGAGCCTGCAGAAGAGCAAGGACTATTTGGTCTCTGCTGCAGACACCTAGACAGTGCCTGGTAATAATAGTTGCTTAATAAATACTGTTGACTGGGTCTTTGAATCCTGTTACAAATTGGAACACCTAATATGACATTCAATTTCTTAACATTCTCACGTGTTCAGTCACCCTCCCCTAGGATAGTGATGGCAAAGCCATTAGAGACCAAGTACCCAAACTGCAACCCAAAACCCACTTATCACAGTGTCAACATTGCAATTAAACCTGAATACTGAGGTTTTAGATTAGAAAACAACTCATACATTAAGATCTTTTGTTTTAAAAGAAAAATACAGTAACAACTTTCAGTGATACAAACAGCTTTTTATTGAAAGGTGAATGTTAGCACGAGGTGTGCTTTTGCACAGTTAACATGATCTTGCCTGTTGTATCTGTGCTTATAATTTGTCAGACCTTGGCTCGGCAGGCCATAGATTCAACACCACTGCCCTGCGGTCTGGCAGCTTTGGGGATCTCTGTGTTAAAGTCTGTTTGCGAATTATCCCAGGCCTACACCCACCCCTGTCCCTAGCCCAGAATCTGCATCAGAACTTCAGCCTGGGAAAAAGAAAGGCATTGCCTTGCCTCTGGCCGCCTTTAGAGCTGAAGGACAAATGACCCTTCCCAGGAGCTTCTGTGAGCATGAGGACTGACCGCGCATCCTAGTTCCAGAAGCCTGGCCTCCGGCCTGGACCTCACACCAAAGGATGGCCGCGTTTTTCTTGAACCTAATACTTTAAATGTCATATGAGGTGGTTGGATATTCAAATATTTTAATTTATTTTCTGAAAGAAAAATATTTTTTAAAACACCAGCCTGTTTCATAGATTTAGTTAAAAACTTTCCTCCTCTTGCCCTGGCTTGTCTCCTCTCTCTCTTTCCCGGTCCCATTTTTCCCTTGACTTCTCTGACCTGTTATTCATTTATGTAGCTCTCTCTCTTCTACTTGCTTATTTTCACCAGATTCTTCTAAGTCACCTCCCTTTCCAGTTGTCCTGCGTAAACAGATCACTTTCCATTCATTCCTGGTAAATAACCAGGATCACAATTGTTTGGTTTGTGACCAAGATGACAGAATTGATGGACCTGTAGGCTGATTTTCATAAACCAGAGCTACCAAGCGTTTCAAAAACAGTCTTGTTTTTGCCAAGCAAGGTGAGCAAATATAGGACTAAGTTTAAACATCCATCAGGAGTTATTTTTGAAGTGATCACTCCTAAATGAGAAGCGTTTGAAAATTTCACAGTTTTCTTTACAAGTAAATTCCAAAGTCATGTATTTTGCCTGTGTCTGCTGATTAATTATGATCCTGTGACAACATGAAAAACCCCAGTGGTTGGTTTGGTCCAGCTGTGGAGAAAAGAAAGCAAGTCTCAGTGACTTTGCCAGCTCTCTCAGGACAGTGGGACTGAGCTGAGGGAGGCATTTTTCCCTCTGGCAGTCACCACACAGAACGGCAGCTCAGCTAGACCTAGTTCTCCAGACTCCACGTGGGCGGTGTGGGTCCCCAGGGGGTGTGGGGAAGGAGGGACATCTGATCTGTTGCTTCTGTACTCACAGATCCTTTATGAGAGCAAGCATTTGTGGCCTCTACATTGGGACTTGTGTGAATTCTCAGGGGCAGTTCTGTTTAAGAAAAGAACAGTGATAGTTACATATAGCAAAATAATCAACATTTGTTTTGACTCCTTTGAGCAGAAGGTGCTCAGCATGTACTGTAGGTAGCAGCTGCAGACGGCTGACCCAGGAAACCCTGCCAGCTCACCCATTTAGGGTCTGACAACTCTGGACCTGCTTTATGTTGGCCTCTGCCTTTTTCTTATTGCTCCCTGCTCTGTCTCACTCTCAGTTACCTCATTACTGTGAGTCGGAGCCTTCATTGGCAAATGAGGAAAAGAAGTAAAAGCCAAATGTGATTACTTAGAAAGAACGAGTCTTCTGCTGCTCCCATGAAGGATACAATAGAGAGAAAAAATTTAAAATAGACATTAAAGGTCTTGGTGTGTTTATCTGTTCTTGCTTTCCTCCATGCGCTTTGCCCCCATGATGCAGACAAGGAACCCTAAAACAAGGATTTCTCTCACTTGCATCTTTCTCCTCGGCTCTAATGGAGGTCAGAGAATCTCAGCTACCCTTTATTCCCTTTCATTCTCTGCTGCAGGTTTGTCCTGCAGAGGCTTTGTGGATATCCCTGCTGAGCACACACACTTACACATGGCCTGTGTGACGTGTCTGTTGGAACTGTGGGCGTCATTCTGCATGTAGGCTGCTAGAAAGACAACAGTGTCTGTCTTACGCTCTTTAATTCTGGTACAGAGTGCCACAGAAGAGTAAGAGTGGGGCACGTCTTGACGGCTAAGAGCAGACTCTAAGAAAAGACCTGCTGTATCCCTGCTCATTATTTGAAGAGCAAACATTGGTGTGCCTGCTTCTTTAGTCAACACTTTTCTAATGAACCTAGACACATAAACCAATTTGGACTCTGAGGAAGTTTATTTTTCCTGCAGGAAGATTTTGCCTCTAAAAGTCACATTTTAGGGAGTGTACTCAGTGATAGAGCACTTGCCCAGCATACATGAGACCCTGGGTTCCATCCCAGTGCTGCAAAACACAAATTAAAAGGGGGGGGCATGCTTTATTTTCGTGTGAGACTGTTAATGTAAATAAATCCATTTGTAGGTTGTTTCTAACTAGTAATCTGGAGCAAGTGTCTGATCACAGAATAGTGCCCAGGTTTGGGGACTGTGTGAGGGACCTACAGACAGGTGTGGGTGGAGGCTGTAGGTTCTCACCACTGCTGTGTCCTCCATAACCAGCGTGCTCTTCTGCTACACCAGCGTCACATCCTGCAGGTGTCTGCTTTCTTTGAAGAGAATATTTTGAGGAAACCTAAAAGGAAGAAAGTGAGCATTTAGGAAAAATACATTTTTACAGCAGGATATTATTGCTTTCTCTCTTTTTTGCTTTAGGTTTTTCATTTGTTACAAGCCTACTCAGACTCCAAACACAGGATGGACCCCGACTTTCAGCAGGAGCTGACTGACATCACTGTTTGTACCAAAGCCAAACTCTGGCTGGCCAAGAGGTATGTTAAAACTCCACATGAGCAAGGAATTATCAGGGGTTAGCACTGTATTCGAGAATTGCAATTTCTAGTTGTGGAGAGGTTTTAAAGTTATTGGCATGAGTTTTCTAAACTTATTGGAGTATTTATCCTTTTAGAATTTTGGGTTGTAATAAAGAAATAAAAACATTGTTTTGACAATTTTTTTAAACTCCTGAGTTACTGGAGGACAGGTAATAAGGCTTTTTATCTGCCCACCAGGGTGCTGGTTTCTTAATAGCCACTGTGTGCCCAACCCTGTATTAGACATGAGAAGAATTAAAGGCAGTAATTGGCTCAGTCGTGTGTGTAAACTGTCTCAGAGGCTAGAGATTGCTGTCAGCAGGCACTGAGGGAGTAGAAGAGGGGTGGAAGGTGCCATTTCGGAGTGGGCAGTGCATAGCTTGAATAATCAGGAAAAAGAAGGGTGGATACGTGTGTTTTTCATCTTTGCCATTTTTAATTTATTCTGGAACTTAGACCATTTCCTGTGTGAAAAATCAAGTAAGTAGAAATTTTCATTTAATAATCTAGAGGGAATGTTCTCTATAACCTTGTGTTTGATATTTTATGTTAGCGTACTCTGGTTTTGGCAGGACAGTGTTCCTGCAAGGATGCTGTACATCCTCTGTAGATTCCAGCAAGGTAGGCTTTTGAGTAACCTTACTGCACTCCAGGCCACAGTATGTGGTGCCTATTAAAAGTCAATGTATCAGGTGTCTGATGCAGTAGTCTATCTGTTTTTCTATCTCTTCCTCCCCAGAATGTGTTTCTGTTTAGTTTGTTGAGCTCCCCACCTTATATGGGAAGTTAGGTCATGGGCAGTGTGAGGCACACAAACCATTTTAATTCTACAAAGTGTTGCTGAGCACAGGCCAGGCACCAACAGGTAGGTGGGTGTGCAGAGGGAGAGAACAAATGGTCTTGGCTTCAGGAGCTTCCAGGAGGTAAGAAAGACATGTGAGTAGCTAATTTTCATTCACTTGGTTAAGTGTAATAACTATATGTGATCAATAGCAAGAAATGAGTAAAATTTTGCCAAACGATCCAGGGAGAATTGCAAGCTTGGCTGATAGTATCGCCACAAACACAGCAAATGAAAAGGCATGGTAGGTTTGAAGAACTGTCCTGTGGCAGAGAGCAAAGGTGAAGAAATAGGCAGGAGCCACAGTGACAGCTCCTAAGGTGCCCTTTGGGTAGGAGAGCTGGTGAAAGATACCCCAAATGGGGGTGTATCTCAACAGTGGCCTCCGCACTAATAACTCTAGACAGTAATAATGAGGGGAGGATCCTCTAGTATCTGGAAAATCAGAACACCTATGGTAAATCTTTCATCATTAATCTAATTTTTATTTCCTCCATTTATTTGGAGTAGAAGTTGCTTGATCATGAAGTGTTTGTCTACGCCTAGTATCCTTTGTCTTTTGCATGATTTTTTAGAATCCACAAGTCACATTTCCCAGGAGAACAGTAGTTGGGGTCACATTTATAGCTGTTGTTTCTAGGGATCAGGCAGTCGGGGTTCTCCCCAAGTCATCATGTGGAAATTCTGCTTCTGCTCCAAGAATCCCACTTTGCAGTTCCTACAGTGCTGTAAGGAATGAGTTTCTGCCCTTTTATGGAAAACCACTGCCTACTGGCTTCTTGAGTCCATTCCTACCAGTTAGGGAGACAGAGGAGATGGAGTGACAAGCCAGTCGCTGACGGACTGTGTGCCTAAAGACGGCTGATGAAGCTGCCAGGCGAGTTCTCTTCAGCCCAAGAAGTCCTCCAGGCCTTTCAAACCTTTCCTGTATGTCCCCTTTCTACTCTCTAATTGGCCTTTTTATCACCATCCTCATCATTGTTGTCATCATCTCTCCCCTCGGATTTTTCTCCTTGAATTTTCAACCCTAGAAAATAAAGGCACGAATCATTGCATCTCGGTGGGTTTCTACAGTCTTTGTCCTGAGTCCAGGAAAGCCGCTTCTCTGTTTCCAGGGCAGTCAGCTCTCTATTTTCCAAGTATGAACTTTGATCTTGGGGAGTGGTCTGTGGATGGTCCCTAACACCAGGTTTCTTTCTGCTCCACAATACACTTTTTTTTTTTTGTCTTTTTCATTTTTATCGGTACCAGGGATCGAACTCACGACTGCCTGCTTGCAAGGAAGGCGCTTATGCCGCTGAGCTAAATCCCCAGCCCCCACAATACACTTTTACAAGTATTAATCAGGAGGCTTTCAGAGCCCAGAGTGGACTTTGGAAGGAAAACATGCTGTGAAGGTACAGTAGTCATTCCATGTGAGCCATTCCATCGACAGGACTACGCTGAAGGTCCCAAATAGTCAAGCATAGAGCTGGATGTGGATGAAACCTCAGCCCACCCCATACCTGCCCTGTCCTTAGGGTCTCTTGTTGTGGCAGCTGTTTGTCTATGCCAGTTAATCCCATAGGAACCCACTGAGGTCCTAGTGGTCCCCTCTCCACGCAGACCCTTCTTTGCCATCTCACACACCTTTGCCATGGAGATGTTCCAGTGCAAATCAGTCCAGACTCCACCTCGGAAATGGCTCCTTTATGTTCCTGGTAATTTACACATGAGAGAAAAATAAGTGTTCCTTTGAATCCCCTAAGAATTTTCTGTTATCTTTTTAGTATAAGCTGTGAAAAACCAGTGTTATTACAGAAAGAAAATAACGGTTTAAATTTTAGCACTAACACCTTTTTCTTTCTTTTTTTTATCGGTATCGGGGATCGAACTCACGACCGCCTGCTTGCAAGGCAGGTGCTTATGCTGCTGAGCTAAATCCCCAGCAACTAACACCTTTTTCCTCCTATAATTTATTTGATCACTAGCTTCAGTTCTTTGAGTTCAAAAATCTTAGTGAATGTATCATTTATTTTTCCTTTTGTTCCCAAAGAAGGCTTTAAAACATTTCATTGGAGTCATGAAATAACTAATTCAGTTTTCAATTTTGACTCTGAAATTGAGGGCACATAAAGACTTTTGTCATATGTTTGTATTTGACTTTGTAAGATTAATAAGGATTTACATGAGATGGTTGAGCAATAGCCATGGGGTTGTTGGGACTTTGGTGATGGATGGCCAGCTGGCAACACGGCTTGAGCAAAGGACTGGGCTCCTTTTCTTTCAGGCCACTTTTCATTCCAAGATGTCAAAGCCTTTATGGAAATCAGCTCATTAATCCTTCAGGCTCCTCCATCCCTCCCTCCTCAGTCCAGTTCAGTGTCTCTCTCATGGTGTAAGGCAGTTCACTAACTACAGAAAGAAGACTAAGCTGTGTCAGGCCAGGAGCCAGGGAGGACAGAAGTAAGCCGCTGGTCTGCGGTGGTGGCCGGGTGCACTGGCCAGCCTTGCTGTCTGTGGACTGCAGCTCAGCGATCCTGGCTGGATCATAGGCCCTGGATGAATAGGAAAGACTTTGAAAGCTCTTACCAAGTCAGAGGAAGAGAAGAAAATTATTATTGCACTGGGCTTAAAATTTTTTCAGGAGTATGTTTGGTTATCTACTATCTCCTTCTTTGGTTTCAAAAGGAAAAGGATGTAGGCATTATGCACATGCTGTGTGTCCCTGTTAATAAACTGAGTGAGCTGAGTGACTGTTCAGACAAAGCACAACAGGTGATGTGATCACCAAAAAGAAATGTTCGCTACAAACCATTTTCATTTTATTTTCTTGTCAGTGCGGTCTGTGTTTTATCATAGGAAATATCCAAGTACAAAATTGTGAAAAGAGAAGACAAAAGTATACTTTCACTACAGTCTAGTGGAAACCACTATATTGGTTAATAGTTTTATTTAATTACTTCATCTTTTTCCTATGCTTTTTTTTTGTCTAGCTAAAGTTTTATATATATATATATATATATATATCTGACAGTGTCCTGAAAGCATTCTGTCTGTTGTTAAAACTCTTTATGATGCAGCTGTAGAAAATAGTATATAGCATTTCTACTAAAAACGTACTCTGTACAGCTTCAATTCTGGAAACGTACAACAGACAGTGAAAGCAGAAACTTAAAGAGATGTACATTTGTGTTCATAGCTGTATTATCACAGTAGCTAAAACATGGAACTGACTTAAGCGTTCATTGACTAATGATAGTGAATGAACAGAATATGGTGAATACATAAAAGATTGAAACTTGATCAAAAATGAATTCAAAATAGATCAGATACTTTAATAGAAGACTAAAAATATGAAACTGTTGAAGAAAACATAAGAGAAACATTTTAAGACATAGGCATAAGCATTGACCTCCTGAACAGGACACCATAGCTGTGGATATAACAGGAATGGACAGATGGGTCTACATCAAATTAGGTTTCCACACAGCCAAAGAAACAACCAACATAGTGAAGAGACGGCTTGAGAATGGAGAAAGTCTTTGCCAGCTATTCTAATGACAGAAGATTAATAGCCAGAAGATATAAAAAAAAAACCTCAAAACCAAAAAACCAAAGAGCCCAATCATTAAGTGGGCAAATGAACTGAGTAGATATTATTCAGAAGCAGCACAAATGTCAATAATTACATGGAGAAAAAATGTCCCGCATCATTAGCTGTCAGAGAAATGCAAACAATACTGCATTGAGATTCCATCTTATCACAGTCAAAATGTCTGTCATCAGAATACAAAAAAACAATGCTGGTAAGGATTTTGGGGAAAGAGACCTGTCTACACTGTTGGTGAGAAGGTAAAATAGTACAGTCACTATGGAAATTAGTGTGGAGATTACTTAACAAGGTAAAAGTAGAAATTCCTTTTCATCTAGCTGTACCACCTCTGTGTACTGCAGTAAATTAAAATCTGTATTATAGGAATACATGCTCATGGTTATTGTGGCACAATTTACAGATAAGCTATGGAAGCACCCTAAGTGTCAACTGAAGAATGGATAAAGAAAATAATAGTTTATATATACAGTGGAGTATTATTCAGCCATGAAGAAGAACAGAGTCCTGTCATTGGCAAGAAAATGGATGGAACTGCACCGCATCATGTTAGGCAAAGTGAGCCAGACTCAGACAAACCATGTGGTTCCTCATAGTGAAATCTAGAAGGAAAAAATAAAGATGCCGTGAAAAGTAGAAAAGACACTATAAAAGAAAAGAGTCAGCAAGAAGGGAGAGAGACAGGCCTGGGGCATAGGATATAAATGATTAAAATATGCTATTTCCATATACAAAAAAGGGAAATCTTCATTCTGAATAACTAAAATGCACTATGAAAATTTTTAAATATATGCTATATACAGTTGAAATGTTATACTGCTGTAAAAGGGAAGAAAATTCTGACACATGCTAAACATGGGTGAAGCCTGGGAACGTTATGCTAAGTGATGTAAGCCAAGCACAGAAAGCAGTGACTGTCTGGGTCCACGTCACGTATGGAAGGTGCTGAGTCCCAGTCATGGGGACAGAAAGTGGAGCGGGGCTTGCCGAGCATTCAGGAGGAGGAAGGAGGAGCTGCTGCTTAATGGCTGTAGGCCTCTCAAAGTTAACTGCACAGCACTGTGACGCTGCTGTACCTGACACCGCTGTACACTTGCAAGTTGTTAAGATGGTAGATCTTACATTTATTTATATTTTGCCACAACTAATTTCTTTAAATGACAAGTATTTAAAACATAAATGTCTTGTACTCTATTACTAATTCAAGACTATCACTGTTTTGCGTTTCTTAGTTTTTCTTCTTTGTTTTACTACCCATACATCCTCCAAAATAAAATTTGCCCATTTTTTTTGAGTTGAGAAAAAAAAATCTTCAAACCCATCATTTATTGAAGTTAGCATGCTTTTGCCGCCTTCATAATCAGGCATTACGCTTACCTGATCATTGCTTCATGGTTGGCCATTCAGTTTGTTTCATACTTTTTGGCATCATAAATAATGTTCTAGTGAACAACTTTTTGAGAGAGAGAGAGAGAGAGAGAGAGAGAGAGAGAGAGAGAGAGAGTTAGGTTTGATTTCCATAAGTTGAAAAAATTACTTGGGAGATATGAAAATATTTAAAGGTCTTCCTATCATTCCCAGATTGCTTTCCAGAAGGGAAATTTCAGTTTATCGTTCCACCAGCAGTACATCAGAGACCTCCACCAAAATTCTAACAGATTTTTTTAATTAGATAAGGAAACTTTTACTTTTCAAGTGCCTGCTTTATGCCAAGCTCCATATGAGATTTGTATGTATTATTTTGTTGAACTCTTCTCAAAACTCCTTTAGAGCTGGGCATGGTGGCTCACGCCTGTAGTCCCAGCACGCAGGAGGCTGAGGCAGGGGGATCATTGTGAGTTCCAGACCAGTCTAGGCTACAAAGTGATCTCAAGGGCAGTCTGAACTGCATAGAAAGAACCTGTCTCCAAAACAAAACAAAACAAAACAAAACAAAACTCCTTTAGTATGGGAAAACTAACTTTTCTATAGAGACAAACCCTGTATATAAGACATCCAGGATAGTTAGGATTTCTGGTTGGCATGAGTTAACAAACAAGTCAAACAGGTGTGGATAGGTTTTCAACTCTGACTTCATATACTGCCCTTCAGTCACTCCCGCACCCGAGTTCCTGTGTGGTCACACGAGCCAGAGCGCAAGTCCTAGCCGTCTCCCATGAGAGACTGTTACTGTCTGCACCTCATCACACCCTGCAGCCACTTCTCCCTTGAGGATCCCTGCTGGTGCCGTGGAAATAGGAGTTGTGGTTCTTGGTGCTGGTACTTACTGAGTGTAAGTTTGCCCCATGATTAAGTTTTTATTCCAAGCAGATATTCTTAATGCTTATAGCTGCAAGTTAGAATCACCTGGAGAGATTTTAAAACCTACTGATGCCAGGCTCTGCCCCTAGCCTTTCTGATTTAGGTATTTTCAGTACTTTGCCCTTGAAATTGTCATTTAAATCTGATAGTCTGTGGCTATTATCAAGAAATCAAGCAATAACAAATGCTGAAGGGGCTGTGGGGAAAAGAGAACTCTTCACTGTTGGTGGAAATGCAGACTGGTGCAACCACTGTGGAAATCAGCGCGGAGAGTCCTCCAAAAACTAGGATTGGAGGTTCCATTCAATCCAGCTATTCCCGTTCTGGGTGTCTTCCCAAAAGAATTAAAAACATCATGCCACAGCAATATATGTGCACCCCATGTTTATAGCAGTACAGTTTGTAATAGTCAGATTTGGAAACAATTTAAGTGCCCAGTGACTAAGGAATGGATAAAAAAGATGTGGTCTTTTTTATATAATGGAGTACTACTCAGCCATAAAGAAGGACAAACTGTAGACTTTCATAGGTAAATGGATGCAACTTGAGAATATACCCATTAGTGAAATAAATAAGATACACGTGTGTAAACATTATAGTGTTTCATTAGTGTGACAAGCTGAAAGAAAAAATATGTCTGTGTATGTATATGTATATAAAAAATAGTTAAGATATACTACTGATTTCTATGAGTTCACTGAAGAGAAAGATTTGTGCTGATATTGTTTGCACAATTGAATGTGGATGTCTTGTGCTCTGGGTGAAGGATTTGGAGATGACAATGTGCAATGTACATACCATTGTTGCCGCCTGATTAATGTGTTTTGAAATTTTGTTGTAGTTTTTTTTCTTCTTCCTCATCATCGTCTTCTTCTCCTTCTCCTTTTCTCACCTTGAAATAAGACAGATTTGTTGGAGGGGATAAATAAATAAATCTGATATTCTGGTATGGTTGGTGTCCCAGAAGTTTGTGTCACCTTTTTTTCCCATGAGGTGAGGCTTAAGTAAAACATATTATACCTGTATCACTCCATTCAACAGCTTCTTGTGCCCTGCCATCTACCAAGTTGTATCAATTGTGGAACCGTTTTTATTAAAATTACTACTACGGGGCTGGGGATTTAGCTCAGCAGCATAAGCACCTGCCTTGCAAGCAGGCAGTCGTGAGTTCGATTCCTGGTACCGATAAAAAATGAAAAAGACAAAAAAAAAATATTACTTCATGGGTTTAATTCTCAGTATAGAAAAAACAAAAACAGCTGGGGATTTAGCTCAGCGGCATAAGCATCTGCCTTGCAAGTAGGCGGGCGTGAGTTCGATCCCTGGTACTGATAATAAACAATTAATTAATTAAATAAATAAAAACACTATTTCAGCCTGCAATGACAACAAAACAGAGTCTTCTTCAAGTGAGCTCATAGACATGGAGTTTTAGATCCAGAAAAAACTACTGTATGTGTTTCATCCCTAGCCTTTACAAATGGCAGGTGGCAGCCTGCAGTAGTCGGGGATTTGTCCGTTTTCACTCAGCTGAGCAGAACTAATGTCCTTCCGACGAACACTAACGTGTGTTGAGGGCTCAAGGCCCCGGCACCTTGTTGGGATCTTTCTCCTGGGCCCTGCTGCCGCCACCTGGCCACACACTTTATGTCACGGTTTTGTATGGCCATAACTTCGGTGTTGTCTAGGACTGTGCTTCAGAGAGAGATGCTGTGCACAGGAATCACCTGGGAAGTTTGTTACAGTGAAGACTCATTTGCCAGGTGTGGGGCGGGGCTTGAGGCCAGCTTCCAGGTGACCCACTGCTGCTGAGCACTGTGTGTACTTTGAGGAGGAATGCCCCCCCCCCCGCCGGTCAGTGTGATCCTCCAACCCCCAGGGAGAAAGGCTCCCACCATCATGCCCTCATTCTCGAGGATTTGGGCTGTGAGCAAGGGCCACAGGCATCACCTGGCACTGTCCCCAACCTGGGGTGACCTGCACTGAAGGCCTGGTGGCACCAGTGCTCTCCATGGGAACTTTACATTCCCTCTTCTGGAGCAGCCATATCTGTGGCCTCTGTCATTGCCTGGGTTGGGACCAATGCTGTAGTGGCATGTAATACATATTTGTCATTTTGAAAAATAAGAAACTGATACTCTGATGAGAAAAGCAGTTTCAGGAATACAAGAATAACTCCCAAGGTTACTACTACAAAAGCAACCTTGACAATAAACTTTTAAATAAAATGGCGTTGGGGCTGGGGATTTAGCTCAGCGGCATAAGCGCCTGCCTTGCAAGCAGGCAGTCATGAGTTCGATCCCTGGTACCGATAAAAATGAAAAAGACAAAAAAGAAAATGAAAAAAAAAATAAAATGGCATTGATAAAGGGTAGAGGAGATGACGGGAACTAATGTTTGCTGAAGACCTACTCTTGAGTACGAGACCTAAGGAGTTGCTACCCCAATTTAATTCTAATTTGCAAATCTGTGAACTGTGTAATCCATCCTCAGCGGCACCCCTCAACCCCCTCCCCCCCAGGTGCTCCTGTCTGTTCCGCCACCTCCCAAGACAGCCACTTCCCTGTTTCCTCCTCTGGCTACCCCTCACCCACGTGCCCATCGCTTCTGCCATTTCTCTTCCTTGCTAGGCCCCTGCTAAGCTGAATGTTGTGCCTTGTGGGGCCCTGTGGGTTTAAATGTGTAAGGAAAATATGCTTAGAGAGACAAAGCTGGTTCTTCAGTTCTTCCCTAAGGGGCTGTGGTCGACTGTTGAGTTTCTGTTTTAGGATTCCGTTTTGTTTTACAACAGCTGAAAACAGCATTTATTTTCTAACCACCAGATTTATTCACACAATACAGTTCCCAGGTAGCAATACTGAGGCTTAGGTTTGATTCCATTTTCCCACTGTCCCCTCACCCCTCCCACATCTCCCCTGCCTACTGGCCTACTCCTTTCTCTTAAGAAAGAGTCTTTCCCGGTGACTTGAAATAAAAGAGAGGCCTGAGCCCTCTACAAAGTTGCAGGTTGCTGTTTCACATCGATGCCCCTGAAATTAATCCAGTCCGGAAGGACTGTGAAAATATTCAGATGATAGTACAGCATTTTAAGGCTCTCGTTTGCAATCCCTGCCAAAACTTTCAGGGAAACAAGTCTTAACAGGGGTGGTTAGTCACCTAGCAAGTTTCCAGGTATTGCTGGGGTTGCGTTGTGTTTTTTGGTTTGTTTTGTCTTTGCTCAATTTCTTTCTCTCTTTATTCTCAACTAAAAGTTTTCCCCGTTAACACCACCCCCTGCCACCATTTTAATTTTAAAAGAAGGTGGGGGAATGATCACTGCTTTTCTTTCAAGCCTAAAATTTTACTGGAGGGAGGGAGACTCATTAGAATCCCTCTTTAAATCCTCCAGCCCAGCCTATTTAAAATTACCCTGGGCCTTGCAAAGATTTGAATAATGAGGGAATTGGAGTTGGTGTTTGTTTGATTGATTTGTTGATTCATTCATTCATTTTGGTACCAGAAACCAAACTCAGGACCTAGCACTTGCCAGGCAGGCCCAGTGCCATTGAGCTATATCCCCAGCCTTAGGAGTTGGTGTATTTTAGACCCAACCTTGTTGATATTTGTTTGCTTCCTTTCAGACTTCTCAGGAATGTTTAAGGTCAAGCTAAGATCCTGTTTGTATTTTTTAAAAACAGAAAGAACATTAAATTATCACATTTCAACCCAAACCAATGAAACAAGGTGCAAAACATTTTCTTCATTAAATACTTCTTTCAAAAATACAGCCTCAAGTTTTGAAGGTGCAAGCTGTTTGAGAAGTGAAGTTTGGAAATATATGAAACATTTCTTGTTGACAGGCTGGGTTTATGTGAGCTAGATCTGAGTGAATGTAGTCAAAAGTGATCAAATATGTTAAATTGAGACTGAGCAGGATGCCCAATGTCAAACTTCTTCATATTGCCTCAAGAAATAAAAATAGTCCCTTTCTGTAACTGCACACCAAGAATGCATCCTCAACCACTGATGATTTCTACTCTTTAAATATAGAAATCTGCATCCCTGACCCGGAGATGGTGACTAGTTCCATAGAAGGCTTAGTAGCTGTTGGCTTGTTGGGTGTTGCTGTTGGAAGTTTCCAGCAATGTTGTCATTGCCCAACTTGCAAGAGACTGCAGGTTTTAAGTGTCCTCAGCACATTCTCGTACTGTTATGTAAAGTCTTAGCATGTAACATGTTCCATCTTTTGGATAAATCAACACCTTTGTTACGTTATGTTCCTTTCTTAGTGAATGAATGCCAACTTGAGAATCACAAACTATCATTTATACTGTTGGAGAGCCTTTGTTGCTAAGTAAATTCTGACAGTGTCATTGCCAAGTACGAATCAGGAATCCTGGTACAGAGCTCGGCATTGTGGGAACTGGCAATGTAATAGGCATGATGGAGACTATAAAGATGAATGACATTGTATCTTTCAAAAGCCATGCAAGTGAGACTAGTACGAATTCAACTAACTGTACACAAGTGAAAAAGTAATAAAATAAGCGTGGGGATGAGTCAAAGAGTCTTACAGAGCCAGGAAGAGAGAGAAGTGCCGTCTTCTGGGGTAGTAGTGTCAGGGAGGTCTTCTGGGAGGAAAAGAAGTCTTTAAAAGCTAGGTGAGATTTACTTGTTAGATAAGGTTAGTTTTCTTAAATTGGGGAACAAGGCCATTTATACTGTTGGAGAGCCTTTGTTGCTAAGTAAATTGTGACCCTGTCATTGCCAAGTACGAAGAAGGAATGCCGGTACAGAGCTCAGCCTGTGGGGAGAACATTAAGCATAATAGTGCCAGGTCAGTAGCGTTGGTTATAAGAGTCTGGTCATAGTCCAATCTAACTGAAAAGAGAGACCTTAATCATATGAAATAACAAACAGTGGGACACAAATAAAAGTACATTTAGTGTAAAAGTTTAGATGAGAGTTGTTAGAGACAACTTTCTAGAGGAGGTAAGTATTCTCAGAGCAGGAGTGTGACTTGGAAACTCCAGAGATGGTGAGGAAGGAGCCTGTGAAGGTTGTGCACAGAAGGGATGAAGATCCTGCAGGCAACACAGGTGCTAGAGTGTGGGCAGTGGGAGAGAGTGCCGAGGAGGAGGAGACGCGCCAAGTCAGGGAGAGCGGCTGTGACAGGCAGCCCTTAGACGGCAGCCAGAGGGTGGTAGACTTGATTCAAGAGCTCAGAAGACACGACACGCTCAGGCTGAGAGGGGAGGAGCTGCTGTCTTTGCGCACTGAAGAACATCTCAAGGCTTCCTTCTCCGGGAGGTTAACCAAAATAGCAGTCCACCAGCTCTGCTGCTGTCACCTGGAAACGCTTGCTACCTCCCTGGGCCTCCACAATGGGAATAGAAATATTATGTACATTTAAGACCACTTGGGTTTTATCTTTCCGACGTTGCTCAGGGGACCATGGAGCCACAGAATTTACAGCAGGAAAGAGAATTTAGAGATTACCTAATCCAACGAGATTCTTTCTTCAAACAGAAGTCCCATATGGAAATTCAGGATGCTGGAAATGTGGGGATGGGAGACACAGTTCACACCGAAATAGGGCACCGGGGCCTTCCTGCATGGCTGCTCTCCACCGCAGCTTCAGAAGGGGCTGAGAGAAGCACCCCAGTAAGTTGAACTTCTAATGTGGAAATGAGTTTGTTTCCCCAGATCACACAAGTGTTTTGTAGGCATGACCCTGTAGACACAGTTCCTGTAAGTGAACTCAGTACTGTGACCACAGGCTTTCCAGCAGCACGCAGGCCTGCGGGAGGGAGCTCTTCTGCCCTTACAGGGCGCTGACTCAGCCCTGGGATGATCGTCCCCTGTAACCAGGCTTCAGTTGTCTCCAGGAGGGCTTGTGGGTCATGGGAGCTGCTCTTACGTGTATGAGCAGCCTTGTTCCCTTCCTTCCTCCTAACTCCTGACTTCCTACCTGGACTCCCTAGACTTCCTCAGTGGTTGGACTGGCCTGTGGGCCTCTGGGAATAGCACTTTCCCAAAAAAAGTTCAGGGGCTCATTCCAGGATTTAGGAGCCAGACGGGCTGTCCTATCCCATAGGCCCTGTGTTCCCAGGTGGCCACAGGAGGGCTGCTTCTAGAGGCACTTGGTGAATGGAAACCTCTAATCTGAAAACCAATGTGCTGGGCTGACATCGAGCAGAGCCAGAGTGCCTGCAAGGCCAGCAAGCCTGGGCCAACTCTCTACTCGACTGCTCAGCAGCACGGTGGGGCCTGTGCTGTCGGTGGGGCCTGTGCTGTGCTGTGTAGGTCCAGGTTTTAAAAGGATGGTGTGAAAAGGTGAATACGGAAAGGACATGGTGGAGAACAGAAGTGAAAGTGTGAACTAGGCGGATATGGAAAATACCCAAGGTCTCCACATGAAGCCACATCTCCAACCCTTTTTTATATTTATGTTAAGACAGGGTCTTGCTAAGTTGCGCTGGCTAGGCTTGAACTCATACTTCTGCTACTGTAGCACCCCATTGTCCTGAAATTACAGACATGTGTCACCACACTTGGCTTGCCCACTAGGGCTTTATAATGTAATCTGCTGTGCTGGAAATATGCCTTTGTGTTGGTCCTCACCAAAGCAGCCTTGCTTTTTCCTAGACTGGCTGCCAGGCACAGGACCAGAGAACCTGAGTGCAAACCAACACATTCTACTTGCCTGACACAATGTCTTCTTTTTTATCTGAGTGTGTTTGGGACACATAGATAATATTTGTTTGTCTACAATTTGTTTGTTGTCTTAGCTTTTGCCCTGATCTCATGTAGGTCACAGGAGCTCTATGAGCAATTTTGTTGATTTGCAAAAATAGTAATGATAATGCCTATTTTTCCCTCTTAGGAATTTTATAAGATAAAATTATATAGAAATATTTTTAAGATAAAACTTTCACAGCCGGGTGTGGTTGCACACAGCTGTAAATCCTAACACTTAGGAGTCTGAAACAGAAAGATCATTATGAGTTCGAGGCCAATGTAAGTAGGTTACAAAGTAAGCTCAAAACCAGCCTAAACTACAGAGTGAAACCCTGTCTTAGAAAGAGAAAAAAAATAAAATAAAATAAACCAAAAAATTAAAAAAAAAAAAAACCTTTTAGTATAAGGCTATGTTTTGTTATCACTATGTTTGCTATCACTATTAATATTGTTGCCAGGACTGAAGTTCCAGCTTATGTCTTGACAGATTCCTATTAAACACAGTTCTATTGATGGTACTGGGAGAAAGTCTCACTTTGTTATGTGCAGACTTCTCCTGCTACATCCACAAGTTCTCATTCTTCTCACTTATTTATCATTTTTATGCACCTAGAAAGTAAGGTTTGAAAAGAGAGGACTTAATCACTGATGCTATATATCTCCCAGACCTCAAACTGTACAGTAAAATTTTTCTTAGATATTTCTTTTCTCCCATAATTCCTGGCACATAGCTTATTAAGTTATTAACCAGCAATTTCTCTGGCAGCATATTAAACTTTACTTTTAAACAAGCCAGAGGGAGGGAAACATGCATCTCTCATAAAAGGAATAAAAAACATACACCTTCTAAAACAGTTTCCTCAGGCTTTGAACAGATCCCAAGCCCCACACAAGGTCTCTTTTTCATCATTCTCCGCACATAGCTTAAGTGTTACTGCATTAATGAGAAAAAGATGCCTAATGGAAAGATGGAAAATTTTGAGAGTCTCTGGGGGAGTGAGCGGTTCCCTGGGGGATCTCTGAAAGGGCAGGTGAGCTTTCATGGAGCGAGAAGGTGAAGCCCTGGCTGGAGGCTGTGGGCTTTTTCTCTAGCAGTAACATTCCCAGGGAAAGCAGAGGAGTCTGAGAAGGGGACCCCAGTGCTTTTCACAGGCTGCAGGCCTTTGAGGAATGCTTCTGTGGGACCCCATTAAAGGGGGAAATGCCCTCTGTTCTCCTGGGTCTCATTCCCCAGGAGCAAACACTGCTTTCTCAAGGGAGGCTCACTGTCCTCTGCAGTGTGTGACCTGGGCCTTTAGTTTCTCTCTGCAGACTTGAGCTTATAGTCTCTCTGTACATAGCATCTCCATGAGAATTCCCTGGAATCTGGTTTACCATCAGACCAGGACATGGATGGTGATTTCACTTTAAATGGAACAATTTAAATAGGAGAACTACAGGCAGCTTAGACATAGGGCCATGAGGATGGATACTTGCAAAGCCCCAAATCAAGAAAGGCAGGGTAGGTGTTGGTGCACACCATAGAAATGCGGCCTGGTGACACACCTCCCCACACCAGGGCAAGGTAAACTTCCAGCCTGGGGAGCCTGCCAGGCCTGCATGCTGCTGTTAGCTGACCTCCTGCAGATCTGAATTCCTGCTGTTACAGTGCGGGGAAGTAGCTTGTTTAAAAATATATATTCTGCAATTCATGCCCATTTGGCATCTTGGTTTAAACAAACCCCCTCTTGTTTCTCCAGGAGTGCCATGTGATGGTTACTTGGCTGGCGGCTGAGGTAAAAATGGAAATGAGACCAGGAGACGAGACTTGTTTTAATTTAATTTTTACTTCCACACCTGGCTCAATGTGGCCTGTGTCAGAGAAGGGTCTCCTGGCGCCTAAGGACAGCAGCTCTTCCTTTTAGAACCAAATATGAGGACAGCCACCTGGCAGCCCCCAGAACTTCCGAGACTGCAAATATGGCCACCAGATCTCTGAGAGACCAGAGGAGGGTCAGCAGAGTATCTGGGGTTGAGTCAGCTGTTCACATTGTCCGGGAGGCTGTTTGATGGCTAAGCTCTCCTAGAGGAGAGACTTGAGTAGTGTTTTAAATAAAGAGCATGTCCGTGGCTGGACATGTGTTGAGTGAGGAGATCCTAGCAGCACGCGGAAGTATGCTGTGTCCTGTTCCTCTGCCAGTCCCCAGCCTGTCCTTCCTTCTGTGCTCATTCGCCTCTCCCTGCCTTGTCCTCTGACTTCACTGCCTTTGCCCTCTTTTCCCGTGGTCATCTCTCCCACCCGTGTGGGCTCCTCAGCCCCAGGATGTTGCTTCCCAGCTCACTGCTGGCTCCAGGCACAGAGCTGCTGATGCCAGGAGGCCCCGTTGGGGCTGAAGACCCAGTCCCCCCAAGCCACGCAGCTGTGAGCTGCACCTGCCTGGTGTCTGGAATGCCTTCTCTGCCCTTTCACCAGCCAGATCCTTCATGGTTCAGACCCCTCCTCCGTGGCACTCCCTCTGGTTGTTTTATATGTATTTGGGTTTTCGGCACACACCTCTTTCCAATCCCTGTAACTGCAAGCTCTGCAAGGCTAGGCCTTACCCCCTCCCTCCACCTTCCCCCACAAGAAGGAGATCCCAGCAGTGCTCAGTGAGTGTTTTAGATTGATACAGTTAAGCCATGGGTCTAATAGGGTCCTGGGGAAGTAGTTCCTTGGGGACTGAAGTAAGCCAGACCCCGACCCTATTGAAGTCTAGATCAGGTTTCTCAACTTAATGGACACCAGCAGCTTAAAGTCAAAACAGCTGTTTCCAGCCGTCTGAAGATGGCAGTGAGTTCTGGAAATTTGCTGTGTCCAGAGTGAGTTTCCTGTTCTTTCTTGGAGCCCACCAGGGCTGTACAGTACTGAGTGGTCCCCGGAGCCTTCTGTTGTGACTGGAACTAGTGAAGTCTCTTCTCAGGGGCCTTCAACCCTTGGGAGCTCTTGGAGCTCTTAAAGTTCACTCCCGTTTGGGGCCCCTTGTTGATAACATCCCGTATGTCTGCCTGCTGTGTCCCTTTAGTACTCCTCATTCTCTAAAACTGTCCTGTACCCAAGTTTTTGAACCTGCTGGGGTCACTGTTCATTGTCTGCTTCCCAGACCTCTCCCTAGCTTCCAACTCATTCCCCAGGCCCTTCCTGACATACCAGCAGAGGAAGTGGTCCCCACCCCACCCCCTTTTCTCTTTACTCTGTGAGCCCTCCGCCAGGGAACTCATTGTCATCTAGTGGGATTAATAATATGTTTTCCTGCTAAACTAGTGGCTTTCAAATTTTTTGACAGCCACTCAAGAAATACCTTTTACATATGGCTTAATGTGTATGTATATGTCTGTGAACCCTGTATGTGCATACAAGTAGATACACCACATAGACCAATATCACCCCCATGAAATCTTGCACAGTTTGAATTTTGGGTTTTTTGTTTTTTGTTTTGTTGTCTAGTTTGTTTTGCAGTTTTAGGGATTCAACCTAGGATTACGCACATGGTAGGCAAATACTCTACCTTTGAGCTACACCTCCAGCCATTTAAAATAGTTTTTAAAACCTGAGACAGCGTCTTGATGTGTTTACTCAAGGACATTTACTCAAGTTTTAACATAGTTAATTTCAACAGTATTAACTTTCAACATAAGCACCATCATTTTGGATATCAAGTGTAATTCTATTGCTACTATTCAAGTGTATAGTAGAATAGTTTATTGTCTAAAAAAGAAAAAATCAGAGCAAGACAATAATCTTACTTAAAATTGTTGGCATTTCAACAATTATTACATCTTATTAAAAATAATATAACTTGGGGCTGCAGATTTAGCTCAGCAACATAAGCGCCTGCCTTGCAAGCAGGCAGTCGTGAGTTCGATCCCCGGTACTTATAAAAAGGAAAAAGACAAAAAAAAAAAAAAAATATATATATATATATATATATATAGCTTACTAAAAACTTCATTCTGGGCAAGGACTGTATAGAAACCCAATATGTAACAATCAAGTTACTGAGAAAGTGCTTACCCTTGCTGCTTGGACACACTGTGGTCTTATTTCCCTTTTCCTCCCTCTCTCTGTTTCTCCTACCTCTTTTCCTTCCCTTCTCCTATGCTGTCCCCACCCACTGGTTGATTCCATATCCAACTAAAAGGATCATAACCTACAGTTTGAAAAACACTATTCAGGATTCTAAGTTCCTTGAGGGCAGTGATTGTGTCACTGAATCATTTCATCTTCATGTTTCCAAATCCCGGCACTATTCCTCACTCTCAGTAGCTTCTTATAAAGTGTTTTCTGAATGAATGAGCCTCAGTTAAAAAGTCCTGCAGCCACTGGGATTCCGGAAGGGACAGGCAAAGTGAATAATTTATCACAGACTTCCCGAGAGCGCCTGCTGTCCGGTACACACTAGGGCCATTGTAGCCTGGTCTGGGAAGCCCTGCTCCCTGCCCGCCCTTTTGCTTCCTCCCCACTTCCAGAAGAGAGGGTAGGGGGTTTAATGAAGCTCAGAGATTTCCCAGGACAAAAAACATATTAATCAGGTTCTTGGGTGAACCTTTGTCAAGGCACAGATGATAAGAAAGCAAGCTTCTTAGCAAGACCTTCATTTCACTTTTTATATAAATGTAATCCTCAAACCTGATGCCTTCTGCTCCTTCTAAGGCTACTATTATGCTGTTTTCCAGCCCATCTGTTAGACCCTGACCATTTCTGACTTTTTTCAAACGCTATAAATCTTCATTAGGCCAAGCCCCATGCCAGGATTTTTCCATTTAGGGGTAGAAAAAAAATTCCCAAGCCCACCAAAACCCTGTGGCTTGGTTTCCTGTCCAGCTGGCTTGCTGTTCCTCAGGATTTTATTCCCATCATGAAAGTGGCTTGACAGACCGAGAACAAACCTCTGGCTCACCCTGAACTCACAGTGTACTGTTTCCAAGTCAGAACACACAAGTCATAGCAAGAGAAAAAGAAAGAGAAAAAAATTATTTTCCTGACTTAGAAGCCAGTTCAGAGAAAGCCCAGCTCCGAGACCATAGACAGGCCGTTCTGCAGGGTGGACATCAACTGTGGGTGGGGGCCGGCACTGCTGTCTGAGTTACCCGAAGCCATGGGTTGACTGTTGTGACCAAATCCTCCGTTCCTGGAGGCTGAACAAGCTGCATTTGAGGGAGCCTTCAGTAACTTTGTTGGAGACAGACCTGACCCAGATCCTCACAGCCATGGAACAGTCATACTGTTCCCTGAGGTATCCCAGGCCAACAAGCCACCAGCTTGTGCAAGGCCTAGAGAAGATACAAAAAACGAAAGCCTAGGAGGGAGCTCTGAAGGTGGCCAGCCTTCCCTCCATTCATTTAGAAATGTTCAAAAAGATGCGAACCTACCAAAAAAAATAAAACCTCATGGAAACCAGGCTCCTCATCAGACTTGAAAGGCAAACCAATTTCCCGAAAACTTTCCTTTACAATTCTGTATGGTTCCACAGAAAAACATCCTGGGCAAGAAGGTCTGACTGGGAAGCCGTGTGGTAGCAGGCAGTAAGTGATGATGTAAGGAGCGTCCTGCAAGCATAAAGTCACACATCCCTTGAAAGCCTGGCCCGTGGCACTCCTTCCTGCCTTCTTAACATGCTCTCTAATCTGCAAGCTGATGTGTCCAGGTCCCTGGACAGGCCAAACAAATTCCTCCCACATCTGTTGTCCCTTCTCAAAATGCCTTTCTTTGTACTTTGTCCTTCTTAATTTTTCCCATCTTACACTGCCTAATTGGAATCACATCTCCATAAGCCCTCTTCATTTCTCCGTATCCTATCACAAGGGTTGTCTTTGTTTCACTCTCCGATACTTCCCAATATTCTCAGAGCAGTAACTGGTCTCCTGTGCACCTCCGCCCCACACCAGCTCAGAGTCGGCTGCACAGAGACATCCCCTGCTGTGCAGGCCATTGGCTCAGCCCAGGTTCACTGATGCTCTGTGGCAAGGCCAGCCCTCTGCACTCTGCAGTGGCTGTTCTGGCTTTCTTCCCTGAGTGGCCTGTGTGTGTGTATGAGTGAGTGAGAGAGAGAGAGAGAAAGAGAGAGAGGTCTCAGAGGTTAAATAGTGGAAGTTCCAGAAGTAAGAATGATGTCTTTAAAGAAATTGTCATACTCTGTATGGGCTATCCATCGTGAATGGAGGAAGAATGACATCAGATTATTGTTGAGAAACCTGGAGAAACTAGACCAAAAGATAGGAAGATTGAAAAATAAAAGAGCAAAATAAATTACAAATATATAGAAGTTATGAACATTTTGTCAAAAAGTAAAACTGAAGCTGGATGTGGGAGTGCCTGTAGTTCCAACCCAGGAGGGCTGCCTTGAGTTCAAGGCCAGCCTGAATTACAGAGGGAGACTCTGTCTCAGAAGAGGAGGAGGAGGAGGAGGAGGAGGAGGAGGAGGAGGAGGAGGAGGAGGAGGAGGAGGAGGAGGAAGAGGAGGAGAACAAGGAGGGGGAGGGGAAGAGGCCACAAAAAGATGAAACTGTAAAATACTAGGAAAGTCTGGGAGATCTTACTTATGTAAGCATGCAGAAGGTCCTGGGTTTGATCCCTAGTACACCGTGATAAATATACATGAAACACAGAAAATCTTAGAGAAACCAAGATGGTATAAAAATATTAATATATTTGTGTAGAACTAAACATTTATAAATTATGAAGCTTTCTATAAAGTTAAAGAAAAAACTGCAAAAATTTTGCATCATGGGTGACTAAAGGCAAATTCCCTTTCTATACAAAGAGCACCTACAAATCACTACAGAAAAAGGGAACAGCAGCAGATTTGAATACAAATCCAGAAATGGTAATTTCAAATATTTTTAAAAGCATAAAAAAGGATAGTCAACTTCAGTTTTAATATAGTTGCAATTTAAAACGGCGAATTACTGTTTTCTACTTATTCTCTTGGCAAAATGTTAAAAAGTTTAATAGTGGTCCGAAGTGGTCAGACTGTGGGAAAACTGAATTCTGTTGCTGAACCTGTAAATCAGTACACACCACATGCTCTAACCTATTGTACAAAAGTACTATTACCACTGCCACAAAGTATCTTACTTTGAGTTTTGTCCAAAAGGGACAGATAGGTCTGTGAAATGGAGCAGTTTTTATCCATTCAGAAAATGAGGCCCATGCCTAATAAAACGGTATTCATCACATACCAATGCAGAGTAGTGACACTCGGAACTTAATACCTAGTGAGCTGCCAATGTAAAGGTAGCAAGCAGGTTGTAAGTGAAGGGAAGGTGGCTGGAAGGCTGTGCTAGTAAGTAGTAACCCTGGGTTATGGCAAAGGAACTTCATTTCACTACAGCCCCTTTTGGATTGTTTGAATTCTTTTTATAGTTGTGTGTGTGTGTGTGTGTGTGTGTGACCTCTTTTTTAAAGTTGTTTTAAAAATTGCTAGCATAGGTATGAAATTAGGCTAGACCTAAGGTGTCATATACACTAGGTTTAGTAGGTTAAGTGCCAGTCAGAGAGTAAGCAGACACATAAGGGAAGCCAGTCAGCAGGGCTGCGGGGCGGGTCAGTAGCAGAGACCACCGTACAAGCTGGATCCACCTCAGGTATTTGACAGCTTTCTCATTGTCAGGCTGGTGCTGGCTGAAAGATGTGGGCAGTTGGGATAAAGGAGGGAACAGCCTTAAGGGATATGGTGAAACTGTGCCTTTACAGGGTGTGAGAAGTTGGGTCAGGAAATCCGCTGCCCTCACTGGTGCCAGTTTTGGAAGAGGAGGCCAGGGTGTGCTGGCACATGATGGTAATCCCAGCACTCAGAAGGTTGAGGCAGGAAGATTGCCGTGACTTTGAGGCCACAGCCTGGGCTACACAGTGAGTTCAAAACCAGCCTGAACTTACACAGCAAGACCCTCTCTCAAAGAAAAGAAGTAGAGGAGAAGGGCACGCCCAGGCCCTGATAGGGGAGAGGTGCATTTCAAGGCACCACCCTGCTGTGACCTCCTGCCCTTAATTTGCTTCCGGGATGGTTAGTCCACCAAGAGTGTGGCCTGTTCTGTGGTCAGGATGAACAGAGGCCCAGAACCAGGGCCCTTCAAGCGCTATTCTCAAAAGAAAGTCCGTTTTCCCTTTTGTATCAAGACCTCCAAATCTGAGCTACTTACTGTTTTCTACCATGTTCAGAAAGTCAAACAAGCCATTTATTGGAAGAAAACAATTCTGTTTATTGAGAAAAAGACCTTGGCCCAAGTGTTTATTAGTCTTATATGTATGTTATGCGCTTGGCTGTTTTTAAGACTAGAGATATGATTTCTCATACGTGGATTCAGTTCTCCAAAGTGCTAAGTCCATGATTTTCAAAGTCATATTTTTTTCCAGAAAATTTCTGCACATAAGAGAGGAAAGTTGTCTGTCCCGCTCACAGCATATCTTATTTTCAATAAACTAGGATGGAACCTTGGGTTTTACCTATTTTCTGTTAATTCGGAGAGCATGGGGTCTTACCTGTTTGGTCCACATATAACCCTAGCTTCCACTAGATGCACTTCGACTCATTTTGCTAACCACTTCTGATTGTACCTGAGCCTCATTACCTGCCGGTGAAAAACACCCATTTTCTCTTTCCTGTGATCTAGGCCTCAGGGAGAAAAAACATCAATTTATATTTTGTTGTTTATCTTTCTAGGCAAAATCCATGTTTGGTGACCAGAGCTGTATATATTGATATTCTCTTCCTGTTGACCTTCTGCCTCGACAAACCCACAAAGGGAAACCAGCCAGGTATGATTCATAGCTGTATCCCATCTTGGCCTTTGAGATGTGGGTGGGGTTTTGAACAGCTGTGCACCCTGCTCCTTGCTCTCCCCTGTCTCCTTTGGTATGATGAACTGCACATCAGGATCCAGCAATGTCATACAGCTGGCTGCCTCCTAGAAACTTCTCAAGGAAGCTTGTCCTTGCTTACTTGGAAGTTTGCCGGTAAACATTTTCTCTTTGATCATCCAAGGAAGAGTGTGAACTCTGCTCAGATACCCTCTGTGTCTCAGAGACCTTGGCTTTTTCCTGGTTCATGCAGTTTCTTCAGAAAATCATACTTTGCTGTGACTGTTTGCTCTGTTCATCCTGAAGAGATAACGGGGCTGGACATTTGAGTCCTCTTCTCAAACTCTGCATTTGTGTAGGGGTTGCTGCCTCAAGCTCAGGCGTCACACTTGTTTCTGGGTCACGTATGTTTCTGGGTGTGCATCCCAGATCCACGTACAATTGTCCTAGTTTAATCACAATTTATGAATTTTTTTTTTAAGGGAGAAGGGCAGCTCCAAATAGAGATTTTTGATGTGTTTATATTAAAGGCTGCAGGAAGTACTCTACATGAGTTCCAGGCCACAGACTAAAATTGATTTTCATCAACACAAACTGGAATGCAGAGTAATGAGCCTGCAACTGGTTAAAATCAGCCTCTTCTAATTGATTAGGCCTGTCTTAAGGAGGCTACAATTACAGTCGAATTCTGAGTGCTAACAGGCCAGGCCTGTCCTCTGTTACACTGAGTCTGTCAATGATTTGTTGACTTCAGTAAATACCTTCAGGCTGTCAGGGTCCAGCTCTGTCCATATGGAACCCTGCTCCAAATTCAAACCAATTTACAATGCTTCACAGGGGGCGTGTGGTGGGGGTTGCCCCTCATCCAGGTAGATGTACATTAGCCCACAAAACTCCCGGACCATGCAGAGGCAGGAAGAACACACTGAACTTTGCTCTATTCTACATTACTCATGAGCAACTGTGTGTAGATTCAGTGGTAAGGATCATAGAGTTTTTATAGCTATAAAACAGGTATAGTTTATGCCATTTGTTGTGACATAGTTATGAATAGTGTACCCCTTTTATTCTTGTGGAAGTCCAGGTTTGCACAGTGAATTACAAGCCACCCTACTTATAAGGAACCTTAGTATTGCATCCGCTTTAGTTTTCATTTGAATCAACTGAGGTCCAGAAACTTTATTAAAAATTATAAATTGTGTTATGTTAGCAAGTAAGTTGTTTTAGATTTTTAACATCTGTGTATTTCATTTCCAAATTTCAGACAGCTTTATAATACAGCACTTACCTGCTTATGTATTTAAAGGGACTGCTTACAGATCGATCTACTGGGATCTTAAGAGAATCATGTGCTTAACTGTAATCATTAGTTTATTTGAACTCAGTTTTTTGGCTTACTTATCTTATTCTTATCGTATCCTTATTCTTGGTCTGAAAGTTGTAAAGTCTTTCTCTTCTCCAGTTTCCGTCCTTTACTGATAAACTGGGCTCCATAAAAATGACTGGCTTTTTTGAATCATTCTTTTCTCCAATCTCTTAATATTATTTATAGTTTGTACCCCAATTAAATGTGATCACAGCTGTCTTTCATTACTTGAAGATGTGTATCACTCCACAGAACATCCTTACTTTGCAGACTAAGATGGGAAGTGGCACTTTTATTCTAGTATGAGGGCTGAGCTCTATAGGTGTTGTTCTGCACTGTCCAATAGGCAGTTCCTAATCACATATGGCACTTGAGATGTGGCCAAATTGAAATGTTAAAATACACCAGATTTCAAAAACTTTGTATGGGAAAAAAATAAAATTTCTCCAATAAAATTTGTATTGAATACATTGGGAAAGGTAATATATTTGATATCAGATTACAATGTAAAATGTATATTTAAAATTACTTTCATCTGTTTCTTTTACTTTTTAAAATGTGACTACTTAGAATGGAAAATTATAAAAAAGAAAAGTCAAACCATCAAAATATGTGAATATAATAGAGAGATGTGAAAAGTTATTAATGACTCATTACAGAAACCAAAGTAGTACATAAAAGTAACATCATTGGTAAAGGAGAATATGTGTCTACTAGAAAATTTCAAATGATATTTATGATTTATACTTTACTGCAGTTAGACAGCACTGCTTTTGTCCAGACCTTGAGAACTGGCCTTATAAACCACAGAATACATATGTCTGTGTATATCTGTAGCTTACCTATATGAAGCTGTGTGTTCATGTAACACATCCACACAAACAGTAGTAGCAGAGTTTCCTCCTGAGAATGGACTAGATTTTTAGAATTAATCAAGGGTCAAATAAAATGGTGGTTAAAATGGATCACATTCTGACATAAAAATAAACTACAGTAGTGAAATTTATTCTTGTATGTTTCACAAATTGTTTTCAAAGGCAGTTTGAGCAGTAGACAAATAGATCACCAAATAAAGAGATAATTTATTTGGTTATGTAGATTTCTATATGTTTTCAAAATAATGTCGTGATACAGTTTTGCCTTGAAAGAATGAGCCATGTCTTAGATTCTTTCTCACCCAGATAAGCACATAGCAGACACTTGTTAAATTGGTTTGTTATTAACTGACTGACTGAACCGTAGTTTTTCTCAGGATTTTGCTTTGCTTTGTTTTTTGGTTGTCCTTTTTTTTGTTTTTGAAAACAAAAACTTTGTAGTTTGGGATGGCCTAAATTCACTGTGTAGCCCAGGCTGGCCTTAAACTCAAAGCAATCCTCCTGCCTCTGGCTCCAAGTGCTGGCATTGCAAGTGTACACTCCCACGCCCGGTCTGTTTTTAAAATAGTAAGGGTGGTATTACATTCCAGGTATTTGGCACGTATGAGAGCCTGAGCCCAGCTTGAGCAACGTAACACCTTAGTGAGACCCTGTGGCAAAAAAAAAGGCTAAGGCTGTAGCTGAATGCAAAGGCCCTGGTTCAATCGCTTGGGCCACAAAAAAGTAAAAATGAAAGATCCAAGTCTTATTTAAACTCATGCATCAGTCAGCTGTGAATTTAGTTTCTGAATCACTTGAGGTATTTGTGTCACATCTGTATGTTTATAAATATTTATATGTCTGCATGTTATTATCTCATAAACCTCAGAATGCCAAGTATACCACATAGACTCTGAAGGCAGATCCTTGAGTTCGAATCTCAGACAGCTCATTTACTTCATAACCTTTGGGCAAATTGTTTAGCTTCTTTGAAACACTTTATTTTAAACAAGCTTAACAATGAAATCTATATTTTAGAGTAGTTGTCAACTTTTACATATAAAGCCTTATGTAAAGAATGTGCTTTACATGACAGAGAGTAAGTACTCAATAAATATTAGCTATTATCATTTGTAAACCAGGCTTTAATCCAGTCTCCTGAAACTTGGCAGATTTGTAATTCTTACATGTTTAAGCCTTTAGGAATGAAGAAATGCTTGCATGCCTGGCATAAATTGTTAAGAGTCTGCCTGAGTAAGGATGTTCCAGACTCTCAGTTTGATTTAGAAAAAGTTCATTTTTTGTATGTTCATTTAGTTTTTCTTTCATTCATGAGACGTACTGGTAAGGATCTATATGTGGTTTGGAGATGAAGATGTCTTGGGCTTTAAGTATAATAGAGGGTGCTATTCAGGAAGTATATATGGGATGCATTTGAGACACTGAAGAAAAAGGTCATTTCTGCTTGGGAGGACAGGAAGGGCTTTACAGAGGAGTTGGTGGGGCAGGTTTTGATGATGAGCAGAGATTCACCAAATGGGTGAGGGGAAGGTGGCTGTTACCAGCAGAGTGGTTGGCATAGTCAAAACCACAGAGGCGCAGATCAGCACAACCTTCAGAGCACTAGGAAAGGATGTCTGGAATGTTGGGTGCCAGGGCAGGCAGAAGTGACTAGAAAGGAGGCTAGAAGTCTCGATGCAAGTCCTCAGGGACCCAGAGGGGAAAGCCATGGGTTTGACTTGACCCTGTAGACAAAGGAGATTATTGGAGAATATAAAACAGAGCAAGACCACGTGGGGATTTTTTTTCAGTTTCTATTTTTTATTAGAACATGTTCATAGTACGTAATGATTACATTCTTCAGGGGAGTTGGTTCGTGTCCATACACTTCTTTTGCTATCTCTCCCTTCCTCTTCCCTTTCCTCCATCTCTTGGTCCTCTTTCTTTTTATAAAAGATTCATCTCCCTATTTCCTGTTATATTTTATTTTGCTCTTTATTTGTATTTTGGGTTTCTCATATAAGAGAAACCACACAACATTTAAGCTGCGGGTCTAATTTATTTCATTTAACACTGTGATCTTAAGGTACATCCGTAGTTTACTTGGTTTTTAAAACAAAGCATTTCTTGTTTGACCTCATCTTTGTGAATTCTCAGAACTCTTATGGAGCCATATTCCTGTTGTCATTCTAAAAGAATGTAACTGAAAAGTCATTTCCTGAATACTATTGTGGTAACCTTACTGGGGATATGGGAGGTAGAGAATGGTGGACCAGACAGTCTGCACAAACTAAATGCAGTGGAGCATGCCTGTAATCTTAGCACTCAGGAGGCTGAGGCAGGATGATAATCATGAGTTTGAGGCCAGTCTTTGCTTCATAATGAGTTCAAAGTCAACCTGAACTATACAGCAAGACCCTGTCTCAAAAAAAAAGGGAGGGGGGGAGACAATGCTGAACACCATTACACAGTTGTTTAGGATTATATAGATGGCTCCCACCTTTTACTTTACTAATTGTATGCAGCATAATCATTTATTTTTGTAATTATTTACATACATTTAACATTAAGTATATGTAAATATGAATCTTGAAAGGAGGTAATTATTCCAAAAGAAAGGAAGTGATACCTCCAGGGTAACTTTTCTTTGCCTGGAGGAGCATCTGTCCATTCTTCTGGAACCCGGTTCTGAAAGTGGCCTTGGAAGATTGTTCCTATCTCTGAGGAGTCTTAGATTC